AATGCTGCTGTAAACATAACATCCTGCCATTCTTGTATCCGTACCTTGGTCTACTTCCCACCTTCAATCGTATTACTTACAGGAACTGCATTTTATTCATCTTTGTATTCCTCTAACGCGGAGTCTGGCACATACTAGGTGTTTTTAAAATGTGTGAATGGATGAAGCTTCCAAAACTGTTGTTTTTAAAATTTGAAGCAAGGGCCATAAAGAATGAACACCTTTTTTTTTTTTCTTAGAGTTGCAGAATAAATGTGCACATAAAATTTTGATAAATTTGTGAAGGAAAATAAGAGTTTAGTACTATAAGGATGGATCAGCAGAACAAGGAAAGTTGTCCCCTCAGAAGACTCTGAGAGATTTTATTTTTATGCCAGTACCCACAGTGCTGTGGATAAAAGCCGTTTATTTCTGGAAGTATCAAAAACGTTTGGAATCACTAACTTTACCTGTTAACAAAGATGGATTCATTAGTAATGGAATTTTCAGTTGATTCCATATGTCAAGAAGATAATCCGAGAGTAAAACTTGTCTGTTTGTAACAAAATCCTTGATAGGGTTAAGCAGCTGTGTTTAACTGTCCTCTGGGTCATAGATGGAAAACTCTACTAATGTGATCTAAGCTTGAATGCTCACGGCCTGACTTGCCTGCATTCCCGGAGCTGTCAGCCAGTAGTCCCATTGCTGAATGTCGCCTAAGAAGACAAAAGATTTAATCAGCATAACAGGAGAACTAAATCAGCAGTTCTTAACAAAGGAGGGTTTAAAGATACACCTTGCCTTGCTCCTCTCCGCTGCAGAGAGTGGAGTGGGGTGGCCATTTCGATTACAGGATGGGGAACAGAGTAGCTGGGGCAAATGGTTCAGCATCTTTGATATGGATGGTCCTGTGGCAGAAACAGCCTTCACAGTGGCTTGCTTACTCCCCAGAGTGTTCTTCTCTGAGGCACTGGTGCTTTGAGTATCCATCTACCAGGAGAACCTGAAGGGTTCCCACCTGCAAGAACTCACCTGTCCTCTTGCAGGTGTTCAAGGACAAACAGAACTGAGGCCTCAAGAGAAGCCCTGGGCTGGGGATGGACCACGTGCATGATGGCTGGGCTTGGGAGGCGGTGGCGTATAAAATCCTGACTCTGCCAGCTATGGGTCTTGTCACCTCGGGCAAGTGACGCTACCTGTTGTTCTGTATAGATTTGGTGAACTGTGGTTGTCATTTCCTTAGAAAGTGAGTAGCTTCAGGGGAATGAGCCCTTCTAGCCTGTGGCCAGTCAGACCTTCATACATGACACTGGGTGGCAGTGTCCCTGTTTTTCACCAGAATTAGGATAAAACAGTTGCCCTGAACCGATGGGATTTGCTTACCTAACTCCTATTCTCCTCCTTAGACTCTGCTGAAATGTATCCACTTACTCTCACGATTTCTGACCCGCTGCCCCAGGCGGGTTAGCCCTTTCCTCTCCTGTCTCCTGTGGACACTTGGCCACCCACCCCACTCCAGTAGCGCTACACTCCTTGGCAGTCTTTATTCCCATGTCTGACCAACACTGCTGATGTTGTTCTTGAAGGTTTTTGCAGAAAAAGCCCCCATTGTCACATTCTCCATCTTTCCATCCCATGCCCGTGTCCTTTGGACCGTTTTGTCTGCACAGATATCTGACCCAGGGGGATGTCACCTCCAGTAAGTAGACAACGGGCCCAAAATGTTCATGTTTCCCCAAAGCTGAGATTCTTTCTGCTCTCGTACAGCTAAATCCTGCCTCAGGCTACCCTTATATACAAATCTGGTTGCAAACTCTCTCGAATTTATTGGTCCCTCAGCAGACTGCTTCCTGGCAGGGCTGGGCCACAGCTCTAGGAGTGAATGCTAACAACTCCAAGGAGCATTTCCTCCAAGGAGCTCTAAACTCCCTGGACACAGGTGTCACTCACCTGGCATCGTGCTCAGAGACCTCTTTCCTGTCAGGTCAAGTGGTATCTCAGCCCCAGCGAGACCACTGGGCTCTGCATTGGCCCTGGGCAGTGTAGCGGGGAGTCTGGCAGGGCCTCTGCCCTCTTGAGCTCCTGGTCACAGGGGACACCAGTGAAGATTACTCAGCACCCAGGGGTACCCCAGGGAGAGTGGGAGCACTGAGCAAGAATGAGTGACTACCACACAGAGGCCTAGGGGCACCTGGCTGGCTCAGTTGGTTAAGTGTCTGCCTTTGGCTCAGGTCATGATCTCAAGGTCCTGGGATCAAGTCCCTCATTGGGCTCTACGCTCAGCGGGGACTCTGCTTGAGATTCTGTCTCTCCCCCTCAATCTGCCCCTCCCCCCTGCTTGTGTGCTCACACACTCGCTCTCTCTCAAATAAATACATAAAATCTTGAAAGAAAGAAAGAAGAAAGAAAGAAAGAAAGAAAAAGAAAGAAAGAAAGAAAGAAAGAAAGAAAGAAAGAAAGAAAGAAAGAAAGAAAGAAAAGAAGAAAAGAAAAGAAAAGAAAAGAAAGAAAAAAAATGAGGATAGTCCAGGTACAAGGAACAGAACTGGAAAAAGCAGGGAAGCAAGTGGGAAACGACATGGCATATGATCAGGAGATGCCTTTGGAGCAGAAGGTACCTGGGGGAGCAGAGGAAAAGGGACACAAAAGGACTCTGGAAAAGAAAGCTGGGCTCAGCTTAGGAAGGGTTTGTTTGCCCAGCTAGGGAGCTAGGACTTTTCCTCTCTTCTCCAACACAGGACCCTGTGTACGTGTCACACCCTGCTAGGTGTGCAGTGCTGAGTGGAACAGGTGCCATTCATGCCCACATGAAGCTTATATTCTAGTGGAAGAAGTGAACATTAATCGAATAACCACCCAGCATAATGCCTCTGCAGTCAAAGTTCCCGGGTAGGAGAGTAGCATGATCCAATGTGCATTTTAGAAATCTCAAAAAACTAGAGTAGTTGGAGAGAGGCAACTGGAAGGGACATAGAATTAAATCTCCACCGTGGTGGGCAGTGGGATGGTGAGCAGGGACAACCCTGATTCCTTTCACTGGCAAAGCAAGGAGGACTTGGGCAGTGTGATAGGTCCATGGGGAGCTATGATAATGCCACCTTAGGAAAGAAACAGATGTGGGGTACAGTCCAGGTGGGCTAATAATTGGGAGTTTTGGCCATTTGAGTCTGAGGTGCTAATGGGCCATCCAGGTGGGGGTTGAGACATATGGTTTTGGAGCAAAGGAGGCCTGAGCTACAATTTTATCACAGGTCATCAGTGCATAGGTGACACTACTCATGGATGAGATGGCCTGGAGAGGGACACGATCGCCCTGCTGTGCTTCCCAGTGTGGAAGCAGAACTTGCAGGCCACAGGGATGGGATGCTCGGTGGGCTTTAGTTTATTACTAGCCCATCTCCCTATTCAGCAAGAAAGATGTAAATCCATGGCAAAATAGTCAATGTCATGAAAAGTTCTTTTTCCTGAGGAACCAGTTCTGCTTTTTGTTCTCACAGACAATGTAAAGTTTGCATGTTTCCCTTCTTGCTTTCGAAGCCAGGAAGCTCAGAGCTAATTTTGAGACTTTGTTTTAGGAACCATGTAGGATCTGCATATCCAGATACTCTTTTCCCAATTAAACACATTTTATATATTTACGTATTCTTCAGCTCTGATTTTTTTTCTTTCTTATGGGTGCTCGCGTAGGCTGCCTCAGATCCTTTGTAAAATTAGGTGGGGCTTACCTGTATAAAAACAAGCCCTCCCCCACCCTAATTTTTGGGGTCATCCTTGCACCTTTTGTGCAATGTTTGCCCCATTGCTGAGCTAATATTGGCCAGATTTAAGCAGGAGGAACCCTTGGAATTCACAGCAGCCAGACAGTAAATTTAACACTCACGTAACTCATTAAAACAGGATAAAAGCGCAGCTTCAAACATCTCTGTATCTGTCACCAAGTCTGTGAAGGGAGGGGTACCTTTAATTCAGTTCAAGGTGTAAAAGTCTGATCTTTCAGAATTGAGGATATACCACCGAAATTAAAGACTTGTCTGAGGAGATGAGCACTCCAAATCCCTTCAAAGAAGGATCGAGGTGTTGACTACAAGGATGGGATGTGTCTTCAGCTTCGGCTGTTGTTTTCTTCACTCATAAAACATAGTTTGGTAAAAGCATGCCTCCTCATCAAACTGCATGAGCACACAGTTGACTGGATGGTAAATCTTATTTTTGATTAGCCCTGCTTTTTAATATAAATAATTACTTCAAAATGATAATTTGCTATTGATCAAGATCACTGTGTAAGTGGTTTTCAAACGGTGTTCCACGGCCGGTGCCTCGGGGACTGCAAAGGTGCTGGGGTGTTGGAGGAGACAGCTCAGCCACCACCCCTGCGCCCCCCCCAAACACCACCGCACCCCCCGCTTCCCGAAGAGCAGCTGGGCAATTTTATGTAGCAGGGCTCCTTGTGCATAAAGGTGCTACTTGGATTCTCTTCAAAGTGAAAAGAAAAGTCTGGAAGCTATCACATTGGAGGGCACATCCCACTAACTTGCTGTTGGGATATGACTGGCTCCTGAGGAAGGGGCCAGGGGTAGGGTTCGGAATCTCAGCCTCCTACCAGCTCTGGGACTTTTTTTTTTTTTTTTAAGATTTTATTTATTTATTTGTCAGAGAGACACAGCGAGAGCAGGAACACAAGCAGGGGGAGTGGGAGAGGGAGAAGCAGGCTTCCTGCGGAGCAGGGAGCCCGATGAGGGGCTCGATCCCAGGACCCTGGGATCATGACCTGAGCCGAAGGCAGACGCTTAACAACTGAGCCACCCGGCACCTCCCAGCTCTGGGACTTTGGGGGATGACTTTTCCTCTCTGAAACTGCCTCCTCTTCCATGGAACAGAACTCCTTTGATGACAGTAGCCACTTTACCAAGTAAATGAGGATTAAATAAATTAGCTGTAGAAGTGCCATCTAACCGAGTTTAAGAACTGACCGCCGCCCTCACCTGCTCCTCCAACCCTCCTTTCCCATCTCCGTTTCCCAGGAGGAGCCAATCACCTTCTGTGAAGAAGCCTTCGTGTCCCACTATCGCTCGGGAGCCATGAGGCAGTTCCTGCAGAATGCCACCCAGCTGCAGCTCTTCAAACAGGTACCCAGCCCTCCCCGTGGAGGGTAGCCCATCTGGACCCCCGATGGGGATTTCTGCAGCTGTCCTGCTGTAAGCCCTGAGGCTGCGGGCATGCTGGGACCCAGGCCCAGCTGGAGGGGGCTGAGGGTCTGGGGAGGGGGATGGGTGCAGAGGGTGGTCAGTAACCAGGCCAACCCTCCACAAATAGGCCATTCACTGGCACAGGTTATCATAAACGCAGAGCCAGTGTTTTAAAAACTTGTTTGTTTGTTTAACTCACTTTTCCAAAGGCCCTTTCCTGTCTTGGGAAGCATGGTGGTTCTTTGGTCGTGCACTGAGGTGCCCAGCTGCTTGGTTTTCCCCCGTTTCTTTGCCTAAGCTGTTATGCTTTTGTTCTTTCTTTATATAGTTTATAGATGGTAGACTGGACCTTCTCAATTCTGGCAAAGGTTTCAGTGACGTTTTTGAAGAGGAGATCAGCATGGGCGAGTATGCTGGTGAGAAGCAGTTCGTTTTCCCTTCTGTGCCGTGGGCTGCTATGTGGGACTAGGGTGTGCGTGGCAGGGAGTGGCAGTGGCTTCTTTTTTCCTTCAGTGGGGGTTGGGGAGAGACTCACTTCACCCCCGGCCTTGAAATGTCTGAGATCCTTTGTCCTGGGGTCATTCGCTTGCCCTGGGCGGCCAGAGTCTAGTGAAATGTAGTGGCCAGCATGCTGTGACACAAAGCACTCGAGACCCTGAGTTAGGAGAGCTGGCTTCACATCAGGACCCCGCCTCCAGGGAAGCCATGAGAGCTTGGTCAGGCCATGGCACCTCTTCAGCTGAAGTGCCCCCGTCTCTGCACTGGGGAGAACGGTGCCCGCCTCACAAGAGTCCTGTGGAGATTGACTCGGAGTCTGTGAGGACAGATGCGGGCACGGGGTCACTGCTAAACGAGTGTTTCTTTAAAAGGTGAAAATCATCACAGAGTGCCCAGTCTCCACAGACCGTTAGACCTGGAGGGGTCATCCTCATGATTCAGAGGCGGCCTCTGAGGCCGAGAGAGGTGTTCCTAGTGGACCCTGCCTCCTGAATCCCAGTCTGGGCTTCTTGCCAAATTCCGAAGCCTTAGTCTGTGGCAGCGAAGACAGAACCAAATGCAAAGTAATAATAATCCTGCTGTTGGCCCCCTCTTATTGCTGGGCATGTGCCTGGTCTGGACTAAGCTTCTATGATATAACTGGTGATCCATAAATTCAGAGAGTCAGGCATAATGTCACCTGCAAAGCCCCGTTCACAGGCCTGAGCAGCCTGTGCTGCATGGAGAGCACAAGCACCAATAAAACCAGTCTGCGGACAGTGACAGCGAGTCAGTGATGGGTATTTCCTGAACGCCCGCCATGTCCAGAGCCCCAGAGAGTAAGAAACAGAGGACCGGGTTTTGCCCTCATGGAGGAGCTTTTACTGATAGGAGAAAGAGGTGCATAACTAAAGACAATTACAGGTTAAACCAGTGCAGGAAAAGGAGCAGAAATAGGCTTTTATGCAGTCAGAATAGGACTCCACTAATCCTCACTCTGTAACGTGAGGGCTTCACAAAGGAGGCAGCACTCTCAGAGATGAATATGAGTTCTGAGGAGAAGACGGGCTTTATGTGTTGTTCAACGAAGTCATGTCATTCGGAGCTTCTAGAAAAGCTGTCCAGTGATAAGACCTCCTTATCCCACCAGAAAAAACTGAACAAGTCCCCCAACAACGCCTCCCTTTTCTTTCCCTATCACTACTCAAGTGTCTTGGGGCTGAGCGTGTGTCCGGCAGTGTGGGCACATGCAGCCCTGAGGTGCCTGCCCTGCGGTGGCTCACAGAACTGCAGAGACTGTGGACTTTGGAGTGGGAGTTAGCTATTTTAGCGGACTGTTCAGAGGAAGGGTTCAGAGGAAATGACATGGGAGCCGTTGGTTGAGTATCCTCAGCAGAGAGAGTAGGGAATGGTGGCCAGCCAGGGGAACAGCGTTTGTGAGGGAATGGAGGGTGGAGGGGATGGACGTACGGGATGGAAAGGCCGAGGGTGGGTGGAACCAAGACAAGACTGGAGAAGACAGTCAGGCGTGCTAAGGAGTCTGACCCCACCTCTATGCAGTAGGCAACAAGGAAGGAGGATTTGAGTTGGTACTCAGGGCACTGATAGGATCGGATCTCTGTTTGAAAAAGAAAACTTGTGGCAGCAACTCACTGTTGTCTCCTGTGGGCAGTGAAGCATGGGAGCCTCAGTGTGTTTCTCCAGATTTTGAACTTTCCAAGTCCTGCTTGCTAAGCAATTCGAGGAACTCCTGAGAGCACATAACTTCAACCACTTCTCTGACTCCTCTTTCCCCAGGCAGCGATAAACTCTACCATCAATGGCTCTCCACAGTCCGGGTAAGTGTGCACCCCACAGAGCCCCCCGGGCCCCTCCGGAGCCTCCTGGCAGCCCCCCACTTCCCCTGCCACCCGCAAGGTGGTCATTCAGCCCCAGGGCCCTCCACTCTTTCAGCTGAAGATGCTTCTGCTTGTAAAGCCAGGCCATCTAGTGCCAGGGGGAGGCTTGTACGATGAGACTGTCCAGAGCAGCCCTCAGTGAGGCTAAGGAGAGCCAGGAGAAGCCTCCTTGTCTCAGGAAGCTGGCCAAGGCATGTTGAGTAGATATGGTTATCCTAGAGCATTTCTGGAGGTCTCGTCTCCTTCTAGACCAGTGCGATTGGGACGTTTTCATAGGAAAACCAAAAATGTGCCCCTCTTGCTGCTCGGTGTCCACGGCAAAGGCTCCTGGGAAGATGGGGTTTTTCACCCTTCGCTGTTGTTATGAACAGCATTTTGTTGTGTTGGAAGCTAAGTGCTTAGGTCTTCAGAAGCCACTAAAGAAGTCAAATTCTTGCCTCTGCATGGGTTTATCAGTGTGTATATCCTGAGGGCCTCCTGTGGACTGGGCGCCATACTGGGGATACAGTGGGGAGCAGGAGGACACAGTCCCTGCCCTGGGGGAGCTCCCTGTCTTCTTAGGGTTGCACACATGAACAGGCAACTCCAGCATAATGTGATAAGTGTTCTCCCTGCTTGTGGGCCGAGCACACCTCTGGCCGAGAGTAAGCAGTTCCTCAGTGAAAGACCTCTTTTGTTCTTCTTGTATGGCCAAACACTGCACTTGGCAAATCATAGACAAGCAATAAGGACTTGTTGATTGACTGATAAAAGGAGTTTTAATACTCCAAAGGACCATTGAAATAGGATACTGAGTAATTTTGGAAAGCAGTATGGAATAAATGAGTGGGTAAAAATTTCATATTGTCCTACAACATAGAATGCTTTCTAGGTCAAACTGCAATGTTTTCAATTAAAGCTCAAAATTTCTAATACAGGCTGCTACCAGAAACTGTGCTAAGAGTTAATCCCCGTAATTACAGTACTGTATTTTATTCTTTTATATACCCACTCGATCCAGTCTCTCTCTCTGTTCAAATCAGGTAGAATTATCTTTCCAAACCACCACAGATCTGATTATTGATGCATCTGATTAAAAATCCTCTGGAGTATGGTCTCCATATCCTGGCCCCTCAAGAGCTGGCCCCATCTGGCCTCAGCCCCGTGTACTGGTCCTCCTGTGATACGCTGGCCACTTGCTAGGAACACACTAGGGCTGTCCAGCGTCTGCACTTTTTTAATGTGCAATTCTCCAGCCCTAGAATGTCCTTACGCTTCCCGTCCCCCACATGAACTCTTCATCCTCTAACGCCTTCTCTGACCCTGCACACACCTTGTGCACACAGCCAGTGCAGCTGTCCCGACCTTCGGGTGCAGCTGGGGCGCCCCCCAGCCTGGAGGCCCTTGAGCGTGAAGGCTGGCCTTCCTGTGACTCAGTACCCTCCAAGGCTAACACAGGGTGTCTCCGCAGTGAGCCCGCACAAAACGTCTAGAGCCTGTGCACTGCATATCCGTTCGTTGCCTCCTTTGTGTACTGGGAAAACCATCCCTCCTCCTCTTCTCCTCTGTTCTCCCAAAGAAACTGAACCAAGAAATTGGTATGTTGGATTTGTACGAAAGCCATGATTCATGTTGATGGCTACTCATTCTTTCCTTCCCTCAAGATATCAATGTTAAGGAAGGCAGCCTACCAGAGTGATTAAAAATAACAACACAGAAAACCAAGGTGAGGAAAGGAAGGCATGTGACCGAGGGTAGCTAAATAAACTAGATTTTCTTGAGAAGCCACAGATTACTGTGGGGAAACCTTGCCTCAGAGAGCCTGCGAAGAGCTTTTCTTCCAGCCAGAGGAGAGGTGCCAAGCAAAACACCGAGTCCCCCTGCAGCTAGTTATCACTATCTTCGTTCTCACCCTGCTCTCCCAGTACCCACCCATTGCGATCCTGCCACGGCCATAACTAATTGCCCGGGACCGGTTACCATCTAGGCCTGTTCCCCTAATTAAATTACACACTCTTGGAATGTTGCTTAACTTGTTTAAAGAGGAGAGGTTTTTGTTGGTGTTGGCCCACTCTGTCTTGAGTCCCTATTGCTAATTGACTTCTATTATAGAAAGGAAGCGGAGCAATTCTGAACACTGTAAAAACGAAAGCGAACCCGGCTATGAAGACTGTCTATAAATTTGTGAGTACTGGTCTTGGTCTCAGGATCCGAACAGATCTGTCCCTCGGCATGATGAAACTCTTCAACCTAGCTGGCTCTATACTGCAGAGAGGATTCAGGGGCTGCTGTGCTGTTTCCTAAAGCTTCCACGGCTCTTAGAATTACTTAGTGTTGATTATTTGGTGACCAGGTCAGTGATGTTTTTCATGTTAAACTGTTTCTGCTCACAGTTGCTGCAGTCAAGACGTGGGAAGCCACGGGTTTTAGCTTTTAATAAAATGTAGACCAGGTGGCTAAAATGCTGGCTGATCTGCGCTTGTGTCCCTGAGAGCCAGAGGCGTGGTCAACCGGGCGTTCTGGTAAAACCTTTCCTACGGGGACCCCATTATCATGTCAGAATGAAGCAGCTCCTTTGCTGGTTACTGAAAAGTGTTCATGGTGGGACACGCTCCCTAACTGTCGTCCCAAATTCTTCATCATCTCTTTCGCCACTACCCTATAGGACATGCATTGTTTGTGAGACTCATGCCCACAGCAGAGAGAAAATAGGAGAACACGGCCGCTCCCAATCCGATGTTCCATCTCTTACAAGCCTCAAGTATTTTTTTTTTTCCTCATGGTTTCTCTTGCTTGCTAATTTGACTGTGAGCCACTTGGGTGGTTTTGTTTTATTTCCATTTTTAATTTTGTTAGTCCTTTCTGTGCTTAAGTTGTAGTTATTTTAACCGGGCGGGTGGCTGCCAACAGAACCACACAGGTCTAAAATGACGGAAAATAAAACCCAGGGTGTGTGGCGAAATGAGATTTAAGAAACGACACCAGGGGAACCCAGCAAAGTGTCTGCTCAGGCCAGTCAGCCCCGGCAGAAAATTGGTCCTGAGGCCCTGCCCCGGTGAAATGTAACAGATATTCAGATTTTTGCAGCCTCAAAAACTGCTGTTCCGTCTGCACTTACTGGTGGCTGTCCCCAGGCTGCTGAGATAAATAATTACAGAAAGCAGAAGAAGGCCTTCCGAAGCGGGGAGAGGGAAAAAAAAAAAAAACAACTCAGGGCCATCAAAATGCAGAAAATAAAATCTCTGTCGCCTCTTTAAGGGATTTTTTTAACCTATTAACATTGTATTTGTTTTCGACTTGATGATCCCATTTTTCCTTTTTTTTCTAGTAATCAGAGAAGGTGATTCACGACGGATTGAAATCAAGCATAGTCCCTGCTGGAAACAGAGAGGGAATCTTAACTTAAATTAATTTTTCATGCAGGCAAAAGATCATGCAAAAATGGGAATAAAAGAGGTGAAAAACCGCTTGAAGCAAAAGGTACTTGAAGTTCTTATTCAAAATGTATAAGCACCGTGTATGAAATGCGTGGCCACAAAAAAGTATGATGTGATCAATAGAGGGCTGTTTGATACAGTGTTGTTAGCACACTTCAAAATGCATTACCAGCTGTCCGGGAGTTTTCACACTGTTATAAATATTCACAGACAAAAAACTGTCTTCAAATAACATTAAGACTGGCTTAAACCCACAAAGGCAAGCAAGTTCAGAGTTACCACTATCATTCTGCCCCTTGCCCACCCCACTGGGCCTGGGGTTCACGGGGCTCTTAGAAATTGGCTCAGCCTCCCCCTCTGGGCACCTCCCCTTCCCACAGCTGACCTCTGTCCCGGGGTGGCTGGTAACCAAAATCAAGAAGCATCTCCAGGGAAATGACCTCCGGGGTTCGGGCATGCACGTGGCCACCACGCAGATACAGGGCACACAAAGGGTGGGTTTCAGGAGGACGCCGCGGGCTCTCCTCACAGTGCTGGCCTAACCAAGAGGAGCCCAGCAGTTCCTGTTTGAGACTCTTGGGCAACAGGACTCTGATTTGTCTTCCTGGACCGTCAGTAAAATGGTACGAAATCCTACAGGCTCCATGCTGGCCAGGAGTCCCCTTCCTGATTCTCTAGCCTCGTACAGGGAAGTTAATACATCAGAGGGCATTTTTACGTGATGACGAATGTCATCATTATCAGTTACCACTCTTCGATAACCACTTACTGAGGATGGTCCAGGCTGGGAGCTTTCACATTTAAGCCTTAGAACAATGCTGAGGGAGGGTATGATTCCCATTTCATGTGTAGAGAGCCTAGACTATGATTCGGAGGTGAAGGAATTTGCCCAAGGTCACACTGTTGGAGCCTACGGAGCGTGGATCGGGTTCCAGACCCATCCATTTCCAGTGTCCATGCCCTTACCACGACAGCGTTTCGTGCTGCCCTCCTGAGACAAGTGTTTGCTTTCCAAAACACGTTTGGGAGCATTTACTTCATTATCCCACACCCCCAAAATGTGCAACTCTAACAAGGGCCTTTGCCTGTCTCGACAGTTTTTTTTAAAATTTGAAAGCAGTTTTAATGTTATGAAGTCAGAAAGGATCTCTAATTAACTTGAAATGGTCCAAGGAATTGATTCCTTTCTTTTAATTGCAAAATAATTTGTTATGACTGAGCATTTAAATTCCTAGTTTCAGCTGAGAGTGAATTTCTAACAGCAGAGATTCAAGTCCCGAAATAAAAATCCTGCCTGTATGTCCAGGTGGACCCTAACTGTGGTCTGTTGTGCCCTGCTAGAGGCTGAGAGGTGGAATTCTTTCCTTGGATGTTAAGTCCAATCCATACTTTTTTATCTCCTATCCCAGTCACATGGAACTGAGTTGGATAAAATACAGAATGGCAGGGAGGGGGTATTTCTCTCACCAAATTTTCCCTCCTTGATGACCTGATCATAGGCTCAGCTGGTATTAGAATACTCCTTGAAGCAAGTAAAGAAAGGGGTCCCTCCTCAGGCCGAGGACAGATGCTCCTCATTGGTCGGATCTGCTCTCTGCAGGCCGTCGCCTCCCTCCCGGTACGTGGAAGCCTTGGGCCTGACGAAAATCCCCTTTTTCTGATACGTAACATTTCTGCAAATAACTAGTTAAGCCCCAGTTTTTTGCTGTTGTGGTTCAAAGGTTACTTAAACAATCTAGATCACCCTCCTTCCACACCGCCTCCCCTTCCTTTCCTTGATAGTATCTAAAGCGGGTTTTCTTCCCCCCTCCCCTTCTCCTCTTCCCCCTGCCAGTCTTTTCAAGAACAGCTTCAGGAGATAATGTTCTATAGAAAGTGTCAGTACATTTCAGGTGACACAAATGGTGAAGGCATTTTATAGAAATGTGGCTTGTCACCATCGGACTGTTGACAGATCTATTAGTGCACCTTTTTCAATTTTCACTTTTCCCCCCTTCGGTCTTACAGATTTCTATAGACTTGATATTTTGCAGTTGTTCTTGGAAGAGCTATTTTGTAATTGAAACTCTAGCATTGTTCAGTGCAGGCAGGACTTGGCTCTCCTGTTCCCTTTCTTGAGCTAATTTAGGATTTGGCTCCATCTGACCTCTCTCACTGCAGTAGAAAATATTTCCTTGGCTTTTTTGTTCCCCTCTCCTCTGCCCCCTCCCCTTCACATGGCAACATATCTGTGTGGCTCCCCAGATGTGTCTAATGCAGACATCTCAAGTTTGGTTTCTGCTATGAAATTGAGGCAGTTCCCAACAAAGATCCAATTTTCAAATGTACTGGGCTGCCACCTGGCCTCCTCTAACTCTGCATAGTGATGGTGACCTCGCAGATATAATCAAGAACCCAATCTTGCCCTCTGCGCTCTCGCCTTGGGTTTGAATTGCAAATAGAAAATGTGGGGCCGACCTGCGGAGAGGTCATCATGGTGCGTGGAGGGTCCATCTCTAATATGACTGAGCAGGGCCCCTTTTCCATCCCTTGTTCATTTGTGCTGCAGATTTTCAAAGCATCTGAAAGAGGAGCTTTCAGGTATCTGTGTGACCATTGGCAAATAATTGTTAATAGTTACTATAGTGTGGCTTTATTCCATACCTGCTCTGCTTCAGCCCAACAACAAAAAAAGAAGGATGGATGACATATTTCTCTAGATAAATGCAGCAAGGTGGTCAAGTTCTTTAGCTTGGCCTCCTTTGAAGTCTGAGTTGCTCAAAATTAGGAAGAAGAAGAAACGGCCAAGATGCTACCCAGCTGCTGCTCTCTAAAGGAAGGATGTGGTGCTCTCCTCCAGAGCGTCTCCCCGTCGGACCTGGCGTGCAGGAGAATGCCGCATGGCTGGGCTCCTGACTGTCAGCACACCACATTCTCTGGCCACACAGTGCGAGGCTGGCATCAGCGAGCCCTGTTTGAAAGACGATGGGCGCACACGTGCTCCTTCTCACCTGCAGGGAACATTAAGATACTCACATAAGGATGTCATTTTTTTTGTCCATTGGGAAACCCCTGAAAAACGATCTTTTTTTTCTTCAGTATCAGAATGATTGAATCAGATGGGCCCATTTCACAGCCCTTTTGAAAGTTTCTAAATCTTTGATCCTGGAAAGATAAATTGAGCTTGTCGATGTAAGAGTTTGTGACGGAGAGGAGCAAATTCACAGTTAGGTCAGCGAAGCCTCGAGTCTCTGGCCAAACATTTCCGAGTGTATTGAAGGGAGTAAGCGTGTGTGGGCCAGGGAGACCTAGGTAGACTCTCGTAGAACAGACGTTTTCACACCTTATCACACAACTGTCAGCTCCCTGTCTCCAGCACGTTAAAATACGCTGCAGCCTCAATCACAGAAATTCCAACTTTGGATATTGTTTTGATATCAATATTCATAGTTTAATTTGCATTCGCTGTGGTGTGAAGTAGACTGTAAGAGAAGGGCGCTGCACGAATCTGAAAATGGAGACCAGCAATCTCAGTCAGAGATGTGAAGGGCTCTGCCTCACGCCCACCGCGGCCTTTGAACCCCGGGCGCCGCGGTCTGGTATTTGGGCTTCTGAGGTAGCTCAGCTAGGTTTAGTGCTGCTTGGTTGTGTAGGATATTAACTGTGTGACCTTGAGTAAGTTAGTAGACCTCTCTGAACCTGGTTTTTTTTCTCATGTAACTAGGAACACGATCGACTTTTACTGGATTGTTGTAAGGATTAGAAGAGGTGATGGCTTTCAGCAGCAACACCTAGGAGCCACTCATGAAATGGAAATTTCTGTCCTGTTCATTTCCTCATATCCCACATCCAGAGCAGCCGATCTCTCCAGACGCCCACGTGTACACCCCCTGAGAGCATGGCTGGCATGCTCTCCCTCCCTTTTGGTCATCCGCACGGCCACCAGCAATTTTTCTAGGACGCAGCACTGACTGTGAGGAGGCACTCTCTTGATTAAAACCTTCCAGACCTTTCAAACCGTCCTCCACCTCAGCCAGGGGGCTTCTTGGAATGTCCCAGCTGCTGAGCCACTTGCCCTTCCTTAACCAGGTGGTGCTGTCTACATACCCCTGGCCAGGAAGGTTCTACCTGCATCTCTGCCTCATGAAGTCATATCCCCAGCTCCTTCCAGGTCCAGCCCCCTCCCCAGCTCCTACCCAAGGCCACTCAGCCCCCTTCCTCCCCTGGGTTTCTGCCTCCTGACTTCTCAGAGGTACTCTGTCCAGTGACGTACTGCGTGCTGTCCCTGCCTCCTCCACAGACAGGTGGAGGGTAGACCCCAGTCATGATTTTTGATTCCAGCAAACTCTTAGGAAAAGTGATGGGAACTGAATTATTTTCTGACTCCTTTACTTTACCAAGAGATGGGAACAGGTTGGGCCCCAGGGCTCCTGGTAAGAGATTTGTCACTCTGTGGTGGCCTCTGATCCGCAGCTCTGTCTAGTGCCTTCCTCCTATGTGACCCTTCAGGAAGGAACAGATTTACCCCTCCTGTCAGCTTCTTGGTTTTGCATTTTCAAAAATGACATTTCGACAGTCTTTTTTTTTTTCCTGTTTACAAACAAAAAACATGTTTATTGGAGACAATTCAACAAATCAGACAAGCAAAAAGAAAATGATCTGGTTTTTATAACCTGCATTTTCACTTACTGTATTCTGAGTATTTCGCAGGCCACTAAAGGTTTCTTCTGCCTGTCATTGTTTTAAGTGGCTACAGAAAATTTTATCTGATGGGCGTATATACATTAATCAGTCCCTTTCTTGGATACTTAGCTCCAGTTTTTTTTTTCTAGGCCAGGTATTCTCATAGGTAAAACATTGCAGGAATTCTTAATTATTTCATTAGGATAAATTTCTAGGAATGTAATTAATGGGCCGGAGGGCATGCACCTCTTTTAGGGTTTTGATATAAATTGCCAATTTGTATTCCCTCCAGAAGGGTATGAGAGTGCCTATTTTCCCAAACCCTTTGCTGGCAGCTCCTCAGCTCATTCTGAGACCACAGTTTCTTTAATCACAGGATCTCTACTGTGTCTGAGATCTCTGCTAGTAGATACAGTAGAAGATGTGAGTTGGCTCTATTTCTTTCTTGACTAGGGCTCCTCCCACTCTGCTGTCTCTGGGAGGAAGCAGTTGTCCTTCCCCAGCTGTAGGAAATAGTGAAGAAGTGAATAAATTGGCAGGGCGAGCCACGGGACTTTGTAAGAAGTCTTTTGCACTTTGGGATCTTCTAACTGAAGAAAATTAATGTGCAGCACTGTTTTTTGATGCACAAGCACATTTGTATATTGGACACATTTGCCTTCCAAATATTCAACTCCGTTTACAAAGATTGATCGGAGAGCGTGTACTATATATTCAAGGCTCTGAGGCAGAGAACCCAAACCCCAAGGAATTGACATTCTTTAGGGATAAGAAGTAAGTGCAAAGAGAGCAGAAGGGGTGGTAGTAGAGGGTCAATGTAACAGAAGGGGGAGATCACACCTGCTGGTCCGCTGAGCACCTCCTCACTCAGAATACCTTCACGTACGCTGCTGTCATGGGTCGATACTGGTATAAACGCCAGAAATCACAGAGCTCTTGGTTCCTCCACTTTCTAGCTGTGTGGCTTTGGGTGAGTTGCCCCCTTTGAGCCTTGTTTCCTCACCTATAAAAGAGCGATAATCCTGTTTACCTTGTGGTTGCTGTGGAAACTAAGTGTGATCGTGAAGGTCAAGGGTCTGGAAAAGTGCCTACCAGTAGTAGATGCTCAGCACAGCCAAGGGAAGCTCTTTTTAGACGGTGCTTTTTCCATTTTGCAGGGGATACGAGCTATCAGTTCAGTTTGCATAGGACTGTAACGTTTTCCAAGCTCCCTCATGTTTCATCTCCTTTAATTCATTCTCCCTGTAGCTTTGAAGTTCACCAAGCAGGTGGTGGTCTCCCCATTGTAAAAATAAAAAAATAGGTACAAGACAGTGTTTACTTACGTGCTTAAACTAAGACACCTTACCCAAAACCACCACACACGTTTTTTAAAATAGCTATCATCTTATAGTTTTTATTACTATCAGTATTTTCTCACCATGTAACCTTACTGCTCCATTTCTTTATATTTTTTCCAGCCTGTCACTCACACACACATGCAATATTTTTCATGAACTAAAAATTGATTCTTTTTCTTTTCTTTCTTTCTTTTACTTTTTTTTTTTTTTTACACTGTTTGGCTTTACTCAACCTTTGTGTCTGTCTTCTCAGTAACCCCACCTGGATCCGGAGTGACCCTTTTGCCCTTTGTTACTTTCTGGCGCAGATGGAGCCCCTCCCCTTCTTTGTTCCACTTGACCTGAGCACCTTAGGGCAGCCCCTTTTCTAAAAGAGCCATTTCTAATTGGCTATCGGCAGCCTCTCATCATGCAGGCTACGACTTGGGGGCCACTTACTGCAGTCCCTCCCTGTGAAATCAAGAGGCCATCACCTCCCTGTGTTGTTACCAAGCAGGGCTAGAGGCTGCAGCTGGGTGTGTGGGTTGAATGTAGCAAGATCCCTACAGTTTATTATAATAAAGTTTATACCTTTATTAGTAGGTATTCCGTTATTACTAAGTGCTGTACGTAGTACATTATTGAATCATAATGTTCTAGACACACTTATATCGCTTTATTTTCTTTACTCCTCACAGCTACCATATCCCCATTTTATAGACAAGGAGACAGAGATTCACAAATGTTCCATGTGTTTCTTCCTTAATGCATTATTATCCAATAAGGGACCACTTTCCTCTATTTGCCACCATTCTCTTTATTTGGCTAAGTTAAAAGCAACCCATTGTCAAGTCTTTTGTGGGCAGAATTTAATGAGTACTAAAGGTGTGTGTCTTGTTGACCAAAATAGGACTTGTTTTGCAATGAAAAGAACTGGAATTTTTCTTTATTATTTCATTCTGACTGGGAGTATTTTTACTTGGTTAAAAAAAATAATTATTTAAATGTTTTTCATTTGTACGTTTATTCTCTGCCTTGCTCCAGTGAAGGTCTAAGCAACTTTCACAACTTGAGTAAAACGTGTGGTCCGTACAGCACAAGTGGGCACCATCCCCATCTCAAAGAACCAAAGGAAGCATTACCTGCCTTTTGCACATTGGAGTTTTTTTTTTCTTCATATTTTGACTTCATTCAAAAGCTCAAATTAAATGTAAATTTCTGAATTTCAATATATTACTTGGGTTCCCTAAATGTTCTCCAAGTCATAAACTCTGAACTCAGACTTGGGTTTCCTCATTCTCTGCCAGAAAGACTAGGTAAGGCTAGGAAAGGGGGCGGGGGGGGCACAAACACCTCGTTTTCACAGACAGTAATGTCATCATTAAGCAAACGTGGAGAAAGTGTCCACACTCACAAATAACAAACTATGCAAATTAAAACAACAATGAGGTCTAATTTTGCACCTCTTAAATTAGCAATACATTTTTAAAATGATAAGGCTAACAAGTACCATGAAACTGATAACTCATCCATTGTCAGTGGTTGGTGTAAATTGGGGAGCAATTTGGTAGAATGAATAAAAAGGCTTAAGGTGTTCATATCTTTTGACCTAGTAATTTCATTCCTAGGGATTTCTATAAAAGAAATAATCCAAAAGAAAGAAAAACTGCAATGTTTATCACTATGGTATTTAGGAAGTAAAAAAAGAAGAAATAAGGAATAATCTAAATGCCCAATAGTAGTAGAGTGGTTTATTAAATTATTATATATCCACTCAATGAAATATTATGCATCTAATAAAATTATCATTAAAATGACTATAGCACCATGGAGATGCTTATAGTGGGAAAAAATAGAATGTAAAATTATGCATGAGCTGTGATTGCAAGTAATTTTTAAATGCGTGTGGACAAAGTGAATATGTAAGAATGGAAATAGCTGTGGAAGATAGTAGGACAGAAAGATTCCCCCCGCCCCGCTATTATGAATTATTATGTCGTCTTTGCAATTTAATCTGTATGATTTTGGTTTCTCCTGTCCTTAAAAGTCAAAGAGCCAAGTTACCCTTCTGCTTCCTCCATCTCCAGCAGGAGGAAAGGCTCTGAACATCCCAGAGGGAGTGTTCCGTGGCAGGACCCGAGCTGTGGGGTGGGAAGGGGCACCTGCTCGCGGCACGTAGCGTGACCCCAACACCAACCCCAACTGGCTTCTCCCCGCAGGACATCACCGAGAATGGCTGTGCCCCCACCATGGAAGAGCAGCTGCCAAAGACTGTGCCGTCCCCACTGGTGGAGGCCAAGGACCCGAAGCTCCGAGAAGACCGGAGGCCAATCACAGTCCACTTCGGACAGGTATGTACCCTGGCCCCTGGACTGGTCTTGTTTTGTTTTTATTTATTTTTTTTTTTAGCAGAAGCTAGAGCACTGCGGCAGACAGGCTTTTCGTTTCCGGTCTCTTTGGCAAAACCACTCCACGGAGCTTTGCACATCTTTGAATGTTTGTTTGGTACAAATGTGGTTTGAAGGGGAATTTTTCAAAAATTTTGAGGAGCCAGCATGGCTCGGGTCATAAACGAGCTCAGCTCTTGAATGAAGTCATTAAATGCGGCTGCCGCCTCCCCCACTCCAAGGCACTCCGTTGAAGGCGCCTCCGTTAGCTAAGCATCTCATTAGAACACTTAGCATCCCAGGCCCTTCTTTGCACCTTCAAATAAAAGGCAACAAGCGAAGTCTTAAAAAAAAAATCAATTAGGAGTTCTTTATTAATGTACTTCCTGAAAATCAATATCGGGAGTCGTGCTTCTCAGAGTAAACACCCGCGCTACTATTCCAGAGCTCTGATTCTTTCACCAACTATTTTTGATGACCCGAGCATTTGAAAAATTGTCTATTCGTTTGATTTTTTCCCCCTTAAGTAAAACGTCATATTCCATATAGAAACTGAATTTTTAAATCTATTTCCAAGCAGTGCTTGTATTTTTAGCTGAAAAAGATTGTACACTCTCCCCTATTTCTTTTGAATTGACTGTCTTGATGAGCAAAAGTCGTAATTATTTGGTTTGTGAAAAATGGCTCTCAGCAAGATGTGACTGTGACAACAATTTGCAAAGTTACTTATTTTTAAATCACTTGATTCTTGAGCCATTTATTAGATGGAGCATCATCTTTATGATTTTATCTTAAATACGATTGCTTTTTCATCACATAAAGGATCTAGAGACATACATTTTAAATGCCCTGTTTTTAACAGACATTTATCAAGTGCCTACTGTGTACCGGCATTGAGCTCTTTAGAAATGAAGTGAATTAATGAAATGGTTGCTCTGGGTTATCATGGTAAGGGGTGAGTTTGTTGATGTAAGAATCTTCCTCTGTAATCAGTATTTTCAGATCATACAATCCTACATCTTAAACTTGGGGAGGTTCGTCCCTTTTTCGGATTTTACACTTAAAAAAGGACGTTATAAAAATTGAAATGTAGTGTGAGAAAGGAGCATTCTCGGGGCAGGGCTCACTTGGTTAATGCTTTTCTTCTGCTGGTGGTGTGTTTCCACCCCTGAAGAGCTGAGTCCTCTGGGGCTCAGGCCCTGTTGGAGAAATCTGCACCCCAGTTTCCTGGCGGAGTTTGCTGAAAGCACAGCCTCCGTTGTAACCAGCATGGCATTCCAGAGCCAGCTTCCTGCTTTCCTTTGTCCTCATTCCTGCACACACTAACCTTCCCATGAAAAGAGCCCCTCGCTGGAGTTTGAAGCCCATTACAGAGAAAGAGGGGGCGGGGGAGAGGGATTTCATGGTGTTAAACATTCCATTTTCGAAACACAAAAAAGGAGGCCCTATTTGAAATGGAGAAAAACCTTCTTTCCATTTCAGCAAGAAGTAGAGATGCTTTAATGTCATTCCCAGCTAAATGCAGAGTAAGAGTGTGTGTGTGTGCGCGGGTGGGGGGATAAACAATTAAAAAAGCCACCCCAAACTCTGTTGAAATAAGAGCTGTCTGTGCCTTCACAGGTCTGTAAACTGGAGAGGATGAAAGTGGCTTTTTCTCCCCGTTTGTCACTTCCCTCACGTGGCTGCCAGCATTATGCAAGTGTACAGGAAGGCAGGATTTTTTTTTTTAATGCATGCATGCGGATTAAGGTCAAGCCCCAAGTATCAGCCATGCAGCGGGCTCTCCCTTACAGCTGCAACCGCAGAGCCTACCCACAGCCGCGAGATGCCTTAATTGAGACGTGCTGTCAAAGTGACAAACACATTTGCATACAGTCTACACTCTATTTATTTTCTCTGGAAAGGTCTACAGTCTGCTGTTGGTTGAACATTCTTAATCAGTTTGCTGTAAGTGAACTGCCAGCTAGCTCACTTGTGCCGGGCCGCTTCTTCATTAGGTGACAGATTAGCTGCAGGGGGGATGGGCCAGGGAAACCGCAGACCCCTTTCTTTTAACTCTTTCCGGCTTCGCCCCCGTGCTACGTTGTCCTTTGGTGCTTTTCCCTGGCGCCTGCCCTGTCTGATGGGCCCGTGACCAGAACCAGCAGTGTTTCTAGAGCACCTACTACCGGCAAGGATGAGTTTTAGGGACTTTCTATTCTCCTCAAAGAACAGTCTTTTGAGTTCCATTTCAAAAAATTTTTGCCACACCCTCCTACCATCTGTGCTATTCTTTTCCTTGCTGTTTTTCTTTAAATAGACTCAGACCTGACATCCGTACCAGCTTTAGCCTCATCTTAAGTAATGACGTTGACAGAATCACAGGTCTGACGTCCTAGTCGGTTTTTTTTTTCTAAGGCATATCAAAAAAAATCTTCTTAAGTGTCAATCCATATACCGCCTGCACCACTCATGTGGCCCCAACAATATGCATTCTGTTTTGGGGAAGCATGTCATCTCTGCCCTAGCCTTTTAAGGAAGGGACCATTAGCCACATTTTAGAGACCCAGAGCTAGAGCCCAGGGACCTGAAGGGCTCTGGCCAGGGCCACAGTGCCAGCACAAAAACCTAGGACGGTCCAACTACAGAGCCCATTCCAGCTCCCTCACCAAGCAGGGATTTCAGCTGTTTGATGTCTGTTAAAGCCAGTGAGTCCCTGCAAAATCATTTGAACTAGCCAGACGGTGACGCTAACCTCAGAAAGATTTTGCCCTGGGTTTGTATTTCTGTGGATCCCATTCTTTAAGAACACTTAGCTTTCCAGCGGGGACAGAGACTGTTGAGGTGGTTATTACATTTCAGGAGTACTCCATGTAGCCAGCCAGGGGACCTTCGCGTGGACACTGGGTGGGGTGGCAGGGAGCCGGCAGAGGCCTGTGTGGAGCCCTCAGACGCAGCCGTGCTGGGTGCTGGCCAGAGCTGCCCTCTGCCAGGGGAGAGAAGGTGCTCTCCTGCCTCTCGTCCTCACTGCAGCTTCCTCCTTTGAGGCTATGACCATCCCTCCGTTTAATTATGCATCTGTTCATCCAGGTACTGAGATCTACCATGTGTTTAAAAAAAAAAAAAAAAAAAGTCCTTGTGGGGCGCGGTGAGGGAGACAGACTAGCAAATGGACAGTCCAACCCAGAGTGATGAGAACAGAAGTGAGGTGAGCTCGGGGCACTCACGGCCCCAGAGAGGCCACCCCTTCACCCGCAAGACCACTCTCCGCAGTCCAAGTTGGGCCCCGTAATTAAAAAATATTTTGTCAACAAACTGAACTCACGAACAGCTCATGTGTTTTCTAAAGCAGGCACACGTATCACCACTCAGCGCTCCTGATGAGCTCTGTGGATGGTTCCAGGCAAGAGCGAAGTAAGTGGATTTTTAGTGAGCCTCTGCATCCTTAGCCTGGACAGTTTCTTTAAAGCGTTCGAAAATCTCAAATAACTTGAGAATGCCTCTTCCTACCTTGGAAAGTATTTAGGTTTAGAGAGGCTTTAAATAACTCTTTTTTTTTTTTCCCCCCTCCCAAGTTCGGAATAGTTGGGAAATAAGGCCCAGGAGATAGTCAAATGAGATAAAAATGCCAGCTTTTTTACTGATAAGGCTGAAAGGAGAATACTGTTTTAGACCTGAGGCCAGATGGGCTTGCTAAAACTTCACTTCAGAATTAAAAAGACGGAGCTACCGCGCACAGGAGAAGGGGACGATTGCTGGCAGCACCCAGCAGGGCCTGTGGACTGGCTGCTCCGCAGGAGGGCGCCACGAGGGTGCATGGAACCCGGAGCATGCTCAGTTCTTCTCCCAAACCCCGAGGGAAGCACTCTTCTTCTGTCTAGCAGGAGTGAGCAAGGGGGTGCAGAGAGAGGCTAAGGATCCCCACCCCCCGTGTTTTTCTCTCCTGGGAAGGGGAGTGGACATTCCCTCCTCTCTGTAGGTGTGGAGGGGTGAAGAAGCAGTGTCCTCCACTCACCCCTCAGCCAGAACATCTTGCCTTGACCCCTTCTTCAGGGAAATCAGCAGAGGTAGCACTTCCATGGAAACTGCTTTGCTCCCCGCGTCTAATAAGGTGGACAGGCCACTAGGTGCTTTCACATCTGTGCTCATTTCGCTGAGTACCAGCTGGTAAGGAAGAAAGCACAATACCCATCGTACAAACGAGGAAATAGGCGTGGAAGACGTGCGCCTGAACTAGTAGCCAATCGACACTGCGCAACCAGGAGCACCTCTGCCTCTCAGCCCCCCACCCTGGCCAGGGGCACCCGACTGACCTTGGGAGCCCATGATTGGGCTCTGGTCCTGCTTACATGCTGGCAGTGCTGTGTGCCTGGCCGGGGGCCAGGACTTCTCAGGAAGTGGGAGGACAGGGCTCCCCTGAGAACATCAGGGTAAACCCACAGGGCCTTCTTCATGTGTTCCCTCCAGGTGATTGATCCTGCAAACAAATTAACTGCCTGCCTTCCAACCTGGTAGCTTCCAAAAAGTACATTCTCCCAACTGAGCCAAGGTTTCTAACTCTCTTTAACATAAAGTTTGAAAAGCCAGTTAAACCGAAGCCCAAACTAAGCACTGTCATGTCTTCCAGAGATCTGGGACCGAGGGGTTTGGATACACCCCCAGGAACAGCTCTTGGAATATGGCTGCCTGCTCGTCTGTGCATATGGAGAGATCTGGCTTGACAAGCATGAGCTGGGTCATTTAGTGCCAGTCTCGCACTAGGCTGGAAAAGCTGCCCAGCCAGCAAATGCCTTCTCAGCACCCTTGGCTCCGAGTGCCCTGAGAAACCCCTTCTGCCCCATTGAGCTTGGAAGTCACACACGATTCCCTTCAGTTTAGCCATTGCCTCCCAAACATTTCCAACAGATGCTCCCGTGTTCCCCAGACACCTCAAACCCCAAGCCTCCAATCTGAACATACACTCCCCACCAAACTCTCTCCTCTCC